AGGAGATGTAAAATAACTGACAATCATATTTAAGGAATAAACGTTACTATCCTGCAGCGACCGACAACAGACCCACACCTACACGAGGACCGACACCAGACCCACACCGTACAGAAGAACGACACCAGACCCACACCGTACACGACCGACACCTAGACCCCACCGTACAAGACCGAACCAGACCCACATCCGTACAGAGACCGACAGCGAACCCCACCGTACAGCCAAGACACCAGCCGGACAAACCAGCTTAGCTTAGCTACAGTTAACTAGCGGATGCCTCTACCCTCACCATCATTTCGTTGCTAACATCAACACCGTTGTCAGAATAGGATAAATTAATATCAGGATCAGTAGCGGGGAGAGCTATACGTTAGCTATGTTGCCCACTGTTGCACACTGTAGGGAACGGAGAGAGAAGGCACCTGGAGCATAAAGGTCCGGTCACGACCTTTGACCCTCATCCCTACATAGAAACACATAGAAATCAGTCCACAGGCAGCAGAGGAACAAAGCTACACTACAACCTGTTCACTGTCTGCTGATCAATAATCTGATTCAGGCTGTAACGTAACAGGATTTATTTTCTGACAGGAGGAACCTTTAATACCTCGACCACTTTAAGGTTTTTGGTCAATGCTGAAATAACTTTAACCAAAGACAAATTATTTTTAAAATACTTAACTAATCACACACAGTTTCACTACATTCATGTGAATTTATTTACCATGTAAAATCAGATTTCTAATTTACAGCCATTACATTAATTAATATTTACTTTATACAGTCTATATTAACTATCCTATAGTAACTACTTTATATTAAAGGGACAATTCAACATTTTTGATGAGACCGTTGTTTCTGTTTCATCTGTGTGTGTGAGAACTTTTAGTACTGATACCGATCATACAGACAGAAATGAAAGTTATATCTTTAACAGCTCCCCAAATGTTGAACAGTTCCTTTAAGTGCAACAGTGGTGTGTTACAATAATCTGATTCTTTGAGAGTTAATCTACTGAAGCGTGCAGAAACACTATAAAGGCCCGTTTAATGTGCTATTTGTTCTGTAAAGGTTTCTTTGTTAGCTGCAAACTACAGCAGGCGTGTGTCAGTTGGTTTGTAATGTAATCATTAGATTACTTCTAAATACAAATGTGTGTTAGGAGTCACTTGAAAAGGTTAGTTCAGGTTTATTGAGGGGGGTTGTGCAGAGTCAGCGGTCACAGCTGTGGACGAGCGCAGCAGACAATCAGATTTTACCCTCGTAAATAAAAGCCCACCTAAGAAAAATAATATCAGTTTAAGTATACGCTATATTTGGACATTTTTCTCCACTTTACTTTGCCGTCACAGTCCTATCTATCTGTCTTATATCGCTTTCTTCAAATCCACCAGACTCCATTGACAAAAACAGCAGTTTTACGTCGAAGGATACGAGACTTTCTACCGCTGCCTCGATCTGAATTAGCGTTTAAAGGTCCGGTGTGTAGGATTTAGTGGCATCCAGCGGTGTAGTTGCAGACTGCAACTCCCTCGCTTCACCTTCCCATCCAAGTGTATAGGAGAAACTACAGTGGCTGTGAAACTCATAAGGTCCAATCTATAGTCAGTGTTTGGTTTGTCTGTTCTGGGTTACTGTAGAAACA